ATCTGAGCAAAACATCATCTGTTGCATTTCAGTTGTTAATTTGTATTTTATTAATGTTATAGTTTTATTTGTATTTAATTTATAATTTTGTTTGGATTACATAAAGACATGGAATTTATAGCTAGAATTTTACATTTAAGTGTATTTAAGCAACATTATAATAAAACAAATTTGGGCAAACACTGAGGCTTCAGGAGAATTAATTTTCCTTTAAAAGATGTCTGTGTATTACTTACATTTAAGAAATTTCCTCATGACAATTCCATGAGGTAGTTATTATTTCCCTCATTTCACAGATGAAGCTGAGGCTACAGTCATATAGCAAGTCACCAGTGAAACTGAAACTTGAGCCCATATTAGCTGAAGCTCAAAGTCTGTGTGGCCTCACTTGGAGTGGGGAAAGATGGTCTACGGAAGGTGTGAGGGGTGGGGTGGATGGTGTGAGGGCCTCTGCAAGTCAGAAAGCAAGCTGGGAACATCATGGTATTCAAAAGGCAGGAATCGGCCTGTGCAAGATGCTAGGTGGGCCCAGGAAGTGAGGCAGGACAGAAAGTTTGGCCAGGGGCCCTCCTAGCAGCCCACAGACACCTGAAGATTCATTCATTCCTTCTCTATGAAGCCTTGCTGGCTACTAAGGACATAGAGATTAAATAAGACTGTATGTACCCTCTCTTCAAGGAGTTTATGGTCTTGCTACTACCTCTTAAAGGATGTCTTCCCATAAGAGGACTGATTTGAAGTCTACAGATCTCCAGTGTCTACCCCTGTGCATACTTTGCAAAAACTATCTCAATAATTTTTCAGTCCAGCTGGGCAATGTCTACCCACATGCTGCCCCTCTCTGCTACAAAACACAAAGGAGGGGAAGAAGAAAAATGTAGAAGCAGCAGAGATCTATTCAGCTGAGTCAAGAAATATTTGTGGCGGGCAGCCCCAGTGGCTCAGTGGTTTGGCGCCACCTTCAGCCTGGGGCGTGATCCTGGAGACCTGGGATCAAGTCCCACGTTGGGCTCCCTGCATGGAGCCTGCTTCTCTCTCTGCCTGTCTCTCTCTCTCTCTGTGTGTGTCCCTCATGAATAAATAAATAAAATCTTAAAAATACATATATACCTGAAAAGAAAATGGATTCAATAAAAATTATTAAAAAAAGAGAAATATTTGTAGCATACCTATCACAGTAATGGAGCTATGCTGGGTGCTGTGGGACATAAATAATACAGTTCTTGCCCTCAAGGGTTTCCTAGTCATAACAACAATAATTGCTATAAACACTCAGACAATGCTTACCTAAGTCAGGCACTGTTCTAAGTGTGTTACATGTATCGACTCATTCAGTGCCTACCATGGCTCTATGAGGTAGGTATTATTGTTATTACCCTCATTTGACTGGGCAACAAAAAAAGTTAAGCAATTCATTGAAGATTACACACACACTAGTAAGGGGAAAGTCAGCATTAGCACCCAAGCATTCTGGCTTCAAAGACCACCATGCTTTTACCTGCTACACTATAATATATAGTAGCTGAATCTTGGCCTTAAGACAGTGGGATTCACTTGAATGACAAGACCAGCACTTGACAAGACCAGCACTAGATTCCCCACCTCCATTCCAACCCTCAGCATGGTATTGCAAGAGCATGGACTTTTCAGTCCAGCATGGGGACGAATCCAGGCCTGAAAGCAATACTTGTCAGCTTCAGTTTTCACGTGTCTAAAATGGTCATAATAAAAACCAGGCTATTTGCAGATTAAGTGGAATAACATATACATAGCTTTCAATTAGAAAATACTAATCCGGGGATCCCTGGGTGGCGCAGCGGTTTGGCGCCTGCCTTTGGCCCAGGGCGCGATCCTGGAGACCCGGGATCGAATCCCACATCGGGCTCCCGGTGCATGGAGCCTGCTTCTCCCTCTGCCTGTGTCTCTGCCTCTCTCTCTCTCTCTGTGACTATCATAAAATAAATAAAAATTAAAAAAATATATATTTAAAAAAAAAAAAAAGAAAATACTAATCCACTTCATATTGTCAAAACCTAGCTCCCTCTTCCTCGTTCGGTTCAGTGTCTTCCCAGACACCCTCTGCCCATTCCCTCCTGGGAGAAAGACACAAGGGGCCCTTGTTAGAGGTTATTTTGTTGGGATTTCACTCTGAAACTTTGGACACATCCCTGGAGACTCTTAAAGGTCTGCTCTGTCTTACATTTGTAGGATAGCCTTTTCTAACCTAGAATATAGACCAGCAAGGTGAATGGAAGGTTGCTGAAGCAAGAAAATACACATAGGGCAAATGGTCAGTAATCTGTATTATTTCACCAGACAAATGAGAAAAAGAACAGAAAATTTAGTGACACTTTTTTTCTAAATGCTCACATATAAAGATTTTATTTTACCTTGTGTTTTCAGAAACACTCTAGACATGTTGAATAAGCTCTCTTGAACTTTAAATAAGAAAAAGGATTGACTGGGGTATGTGCGTTTGGCAGTGGGGGTACAATGGTGGTAGTAATTTAGGAAGAAAGTAAGAGTATTAAGTTCCAAGCAATTGTTGCTACTCTCTGCCTCCCCCCCCACCCCCCGCCATTCTCCAAAAGCTGAGGTTCATACGAAGACCTTGTGTAGTCTTCAGATGCTTCTTCCAGGAAGGTCTGTCCTGCCTACCCCCGAGCCCCCTCTATGGAAAATCACTGATTTAAAAACTCAGGTTTTTAAAGGGACTTGTTCAAAAAAATGTGATGATCATATGTTAATATTTATGTAGTAAAAATTATGCACTAATGAGAACAACTCTTCCAGTCATTTATAAATAAACAAAAATGCAAGTGGAAACTACTGAAGTATCCCTGTATACATCTTTTAAGGTAAAAAGAAATAAAGTTCTAATGATACTTTTTGATGTTAGACTTTGAAAAGATACTTTTATGAATTCTAATGGTAGCACTGTAAATTGGAACATCTTTCAGAAGTCTACATGTCAATACAAAGTAAAATTCTAATAATGTTTCTACTCTGACCAATAATCCTACTCATAGGAAATTGTCCAAAGGAAGTTATTCAGAAGAAATAAAAAGGATATAGATAAGGACTTTTTCTACAGAATCACTTATTAAAACCAAAGGAAGGAAACAATCTAAACATCCCATTGGTAGGCTCCTAATTCAGCTTGTACCACCTTTTCCAGTGTACTGCTCATTACATTTTAATGATTTGATAATGGTCTCCCTCCTAGACAGTAAGCTCCATGAGCACAGGGGTTCTCTCGGACTGGATTCTTGGCACATAATAAATGTACATCATAGGAACTACAAACAGATAACAAATATTTGTAATTTTAAGTAAAAATAATACAACATTTATACTAGACTTGAAACTGTAATATATATATGTGGAAATGATGATAGGAAAACGAGAGTACTTATATTAGGATGGAGGAATCATTGGATAACTTTTAAATTATTTTCAGTATTCTTCAGTGTTGTTTTAGCACCTCCAAAACATAAAAAGATGGAAAATATTTACTGTTACATACACCAAACAAGACTTCATAACTAGGGTAAAACCCTAAGTACAAATACTTGGAAGTCATCCCCTCCTGCCAGTCACCCTTTTCCCCCAGTACCCAGGTATTCTTTCTTTGTTCCTATATCATAGGTAACACAATCCTATTTTTAGTAAAAATGTGAAACAAAGTCAATATGTTCTGAAGAGACAAAGTCCTCTAAAGCAATCCCTCCTGTGTATCCACAGGATACATTGTGAATTTGCTGGTTACTAACAGCAGGGGGTGCCAAAAGGATCACTATTGTTCCCAAGAGAGGGCTAGGAGGACAGTCTCAGTTCCAGTTAGTTGAGCTTAAGCTGTGCTTTAGAAAATGCTACAGGCTTTCCTTTAACAACCAGGACCTCTGGGTAAAACTCGCTCTACAGACTTAAATAAACAAAAATTATATTTTTATTTTCATTAACTTCTAACTGATATTTAACATTTCCTTGAATTACTGATGTAGTCAACAAATCACAGTAGTATTAGCAGTACTGGTGACTGTCATGAACAGAAAAAAAACGCATGTCACAGCACACTGCAGTTGTTGCAAATTTCTCAGATATCATTTATACTCATCACTACTTTGAAGCAAGAGACTTCAGGAGTTAGGCCTGCTGCTGGATCTTGGTATTAAATGTATTAATAGGGGATCCCCGGGTGGCTCAGTGGTTTAGCACCTGCGTTCAGCCTGGGGCGTGATCCTGGAGTCCCGGGATTGAGTCCCGCATCAGGCTCCCTGCTTCTCCCTCTGTCTGTGTCTCTGCCTGCCTCCCTCTCTCTCTGTCTCTCTCTCTCTCTGTGTGTCTCTCATAAATAAAATTAAAAAAAATAAATGTATTAATAAAACTATACATATTACTATATCCAAACTCATTTAGTAATTTCAGAAGTATTTAAATATAATTCTTTCATACTCTCGTGGAATTTATTTTCTGCATTTACAAACACATTTTCTAGAAAGGGCTTTTATAGGCTTTACCAGACTGCCAAAGGCACAGGAAAATTTATTCCTTATCAGTCTAAAGGAAGGCAACTAAGAGGAAAAGTCATATTTGATTTGAATAAAGTTGGAGGGGAAAATAAATAAGTCACAAAAGTAGCTGCAATACACATTTTCACATAGTTTGGAGTCCATGAAAAGAAAGAAGGAAACCCAAAATTTTTACTTCACCAGCTCCAAAGTACCCCATTCATATGTCCAGAGGCCTGGTTCACAGATACTATGTTCAGAGATTTACCTCATGCAATTTGCTACTGCAAAGCAGTTTCCATTTAATCTAGGTGCAGAAGCATGAAATACAATGTAAATGCTGTCCCCAACATCTCCTTGGAAGTAGTCACTACAAATGGACATCTAGATACCCAATATCATTCATATGATGAACAAAACCAAAAACAAGTCCAAAATTCTAGAAGGCAGAGGTGAGATACTGAGATCAGTAACAACGCCAATACTTACATTCGAACAAAGAGTGACTCTTTGGATGTCAGACCAGGAGATGAATACTTTTCAACCAGGGCCAAAGTACTGAAGCCAAACTTATGAATGGGCTCGTTGGAATCCAGTGGGGGAAAGTCTGTGTCAACCTCCCCATCATCCTCAGCAATATGCAGGCAGTAGGCACTGACATTGTCACTGAAAGGAAAACCAAAAAGGTGAGTGAATACCAAGATGAAGGAGGGACAAGGAGACCAGAGGCTATGGTATCCAGCAAGCAAACTGGGACATTGCTGTTCTTTTACCCAAAAGCCTGGTGATATAGTTAGATTCCCCCAAATCCTATTTCATTTGATAAAGAAAAAACATGGCAGTACAAAAGGGGAGAAAAGCAATATGAAACGAGGGCCTTTCCAGTGCTCTATTCTTTCAACAAACATTTACTGAGTACCTGTCATAAATAAGATGCAGAACTCAACCCCTTAAGTCAAAGATGATATTTAGTATCACCCCCCAAGGGAGCTTACAATATAGCAAGGGGAAAAAAGTGAGTACTATGCTAGCTAAATATAAGTATAAATAAAATAAATACCATGAAAGAGACACAAACAAAACCATTGCTGTGGGAAAGGAATCAGAGGCCTTGGACTTATGGTCAGGATTAAGAAAATACCTGTTCCAGGTCAGAGGTACTCAAGGTAACAAAGACAATCTATACTCCTTTCTGTGAAAGAGTATCAGATTCATATGGCAACATCTGATTGCAAAAACCAAGGATACTTAACAGAATAAAAGCAAATGCCTGATTTATCCTGATGCAAAATAACTGGCCCTTCAACTACTCCTGGACATTCCTCACATCCCTAAAATATCTACTTTGTACTCCCAGATTCCAGCCTTTGCCCATTTTAGAGCCAACACACACTTCCTTCCGTTTCTTCGGGGGAAGTTAAAAACCGATTTGCTGAGAAGTGGAGAAACTATACCATCATAAAGACAATTAGAAACTTAAAAGTCAATTAAGAACACTTTAAGATACCCTGCTCCAAAGCTGAATTGTGAAACTGCTAATCTGCTAGCACTTAGAGACATGAACCTAATAGTTCACAAGGCAGTAGGGTTCTAAATTGTGCAGCTTAAATTTGGAGTTTTAATTATATGATTGATGCTTAAATTAATTAATTACAAAGTGTATGCTAATTGTTTAATTGGTTGCTTGATCTATATAGATCATTTTTTGAATTAAATGAGTTGATTTACAAAGTTTATTGATTGGATGTGACAATGAATTATTTCACTGACTACCTGATTTGCAATTTTCCCAATTAATTCACAAATCTTTAGCTGCAACTCTGCTTATTGAGAGAGAGCCTACTTCAGGTGATCTATACTCAGTCTGTCATGACTAAGAGATATTTATTATATAAAACTGGTAATAAGGACAGATTAAAATTAATGGGAACTGTAAATTTGCTAAATGGATGGATAACAAGAAAGTAATCTGGCCATGTTTGTCACTATAAATTTCATGTATTTGCAACACTGTAAGAAATTTAAAATTCATCTCTGAATGATATGGGAAACTTATGGATCTTTGCAAGAGGCTGCTAACTTAAACACCAAACACTTATAGCAGCAGAAGAAAGTCCTTTAGATAAAAAGAATGTCATGGTATGGCAGCTAAGAGCTTTGTGTCCAGAAAGATCTGAGTTAAATATCTAAGCTCCAGCACTCGTGGGCCATGTGATGTCAGAAAATAAGCTTCACCTTGAGTTTGAGTTTCCACTTCTAGAAAAAGAGTACAATCACCTAACTCAGAAGTAGTTGTGAAGATTAGAGAAGATGATAGATGCAAACCCTACCATATAACAGAGGTAAAAAAAATAATTATGGTACCTATAATAAAGTCAGATGGAAAATAACTTCTACAGTTACATCAATCCTTAAAGACCCGTTGTGGATTCATATTAGTGCAACAAAACAACAATGAAGCTAAGCGACATGTTCTGGAGTTAACATGTCAGCAGTGCTCCAGCCTTGGGGCCACTGTGCCTCCAGGGTTTTATGAACAGGACAGACACTGATGAAGCAAGCAACGGACAGGTTATTTATTGCCGTGTAAATCATCCTGAGGAATGTCTGTGATTCCCCAGCACCATAGAGGTTTCAAGGGCAAATAATAAGCCTATTGATCAAAGCAGAAAGCCAAACATTGGTATCAGAAGAATTCTGCTTTGATTGTCATGGGATGCCCCCAAATCCCCTTCAAAACAAACTCAACAAATGTCACAGGCTAAGACCCAAAGGCCAAAAGATTCACTGCCAAGTGCTACTATTCTCCTTGGGTTTTAAAAACAAAGTGTGAAATCATTTATTCATTCAAAAAACTTTTGCAAAGTGCTTACCCTGTGCTGTAGCCTGCTCCGAGCACTGAGAACACAGCAAAGAAAGGAATGAATGATTCACCCTTTATTAGACTAACAGAGGTCTTCTCTAGGTCATTAGTAAAATTTAGCAGCAAGCAATACTCCAACGCTTCTGATCCCTTAATTGAATATCGGAGGGGAAAATGCTAAAACTCCATATTCTATGCATGGACATATTGGTTCCTTTCTGTTTTTATAAAGGAATCCATTAATAAAAGTAGCCACTATGGTATTTTAACTTCTAAAACCTCTTCAGGAATCCAAATTAGTACTAGTACCAATAGCCATTAGTATCATCAGCCACATTGAGTGCTATGTGCCAGACACCATGCAAAGTAGTAGTAGATAGGTATACATAAGCTCAATGAATCTTCACACCAATTCTCTGAGTTATTTATTGTTATTTTTATTCTACAAATTAGAAAAGTGAGGCTCAACAAAGTTAAGTGGTTTGCTCAAGATTAAATAGCATGGAAGTGACAGACCTGAGATTCAAACCCAGGCAGTTAAGAGCCCTCAGCCATTGCCCCCACCTACCCCTCTGCCAAGTCCATGGTGTGTATAAACTTGCCAACACTCTCAGGAAGCCCTGCTCCTATGGAAATGCCACATACTTTGAAAAGAAGGAGGAAATCATGACATATTACTTATAAAAAAGTAAAAGCTTAGAAAGATTTATTTCAACCTCCTCACTCTTACAGATAGAGAAGAGATGCCTAGTAATGAGGAATAAGATGCCCACAATGACCCAGTTAAAACAGTGGCAAAGCTGGTTCTAGAAGAACTCAGGTCTCCTTACTTCCATTCCATTACTCTTTGATCAAATCAGAAATTGGTGGCATTTTGAAATATAGGGAGAGAAAGGGAGAAGCTGTGGTCTATGACTCAAGAATCCCCCAAATATAGACATCTGGAACTTATAAAACAATGAAAACAGAGGTGCCTCCTCCTTGTGGCCTAGTTTGGTAGAATAAAGAGCAGTTTTGCAGTCAGATCTGGTTTTAATGCTAATTCAACCTCTAACCAGCTGTGTGACTAAATCTCTCTGAGCATCTTTATTTTCTTATTTATAAAAAGTTTTCCGACTTTTCTAGGAGAATCATTTGGATCTCTAAAAGAGAGAATCCAAGCGATTCTCCTCTGTGGTCTTTCAGAACTTGATTAATATTTCCACAATATTTATCACATTTTTATAAATTTATGGTTCTATGTTCTCCTAAAAAGCATGGATTCTTCTATTGTCTCTGCATCCTCACTGAAGAGTAAAATGGCTGGCACCTAGAAGGTACTTAACAAATATTTGTTGAATGAATATATGAATGTGTAGATTGAATCATTCTACCCACGAAAGAAACATAAAAAAACATAGCATACACATTAATGATGTATGTGCTAACTAGAAGAGGAGAAGTAATAAGCTTTTCTTTTTCTTTTTCTTGCTTGTTACATTGATATCTGTTAACCAAATGGGGCTTTCTAGTCAGTGCACATATGTCAGAGATTGCAATTCAACACAAGAGGAGAAGGCCCAGATAGAGGTGAGGATGAAAGAGGCATTTTTACAGTTCATCAAGATAGGAGTACTGGCACCTCACTTTTTTTCTTTTCTTTTTTTTTAATTTTTATTTATTTATGATAGTCAAACACAGAGAGAGAGAGAGAGAGGCAGAGACATAGGCAGAGGGAGAAGCAGGCTCCATGCACCGGGAGCCCGACATGGGATTCGATCCCGGGTCTCCAGGATTGCGCCCTGGGCCAAAGGCAGGCATTAAACCGCTGCACCACCCAGGGATCCCTTTTCTTTCTTTTTTTAAGGGGTGAGGAGGAAAGAGGGAGAGGGAAAGAGAGAGAATGTTAAGCAGGCTACATGCCTAGTGCAGAGCCCAACAAAGGGGCTTGATCTTAACAACCCCGAGATCACGATCTGAGCTGAAATCAGAGTTGGACGCTTAACTGACTGAACCACCCAGGTGCCCACACCTCACTTTTTTATGGGGGGAAAAAACCCTGAGAAATAATTATGACTGTGTAAAAATGTTTACACGCATATAAAAAGACTAGAGGAAAGTTTACAAAAATTGTGTTGACATTTAAGCAATGAGCACTTTTCCCCTGTACTTTCCAGATGTACCATAACAACTAGGTGTAACTTTCATTTTCCTTTTTCCTTTATAAGATATTTAACTTATTTTTGATAAGGGTAATGGAGGCTTATTAGAAACATGGAACAATTTAGAAATACAGAACAGTACAAAGAAGGTGGGGAAATCTCTCACCGCACTGTAGAATCACCTGTCTTGGAACTCTCAGCACTGCCTGCCTCATCCACATCCCCTGATTCTGTAGTGGTCATTTTCTCTATTAAGTCCTGGAATTATGGAGAAAATAACCATATATATATATATATCTGCTGCATAAGGATCTTTTAAGGATTAAATGACTTAGTTAATTGCACAGTATCTGTCATGAAGGATTCTAATTTTGTCAAAATTTCTTCTATCACTTTTTTTTTAAGATTTTATTTATTTATTCATGAGAGATACACAAAGAGAGAGAGAGGCAGACACAGGCAGAGGGAGAAGCAGGCTCCATGCAGGGGGCCCGATACGGGATTTGATCCCAGGACTCTGCTAAAGGCAGATGCCCAACTGCTGAGCCACCCAGGTGCCCCTCTTCTACCACTCTTAAGCTTCTCATTGCACAGAAGCAGAATTATCTAACAGAAGTATGGTAGACAGCATGAGATAGGGAACACTAAAGTCTTGTTTGCGA